ACTTTCTTATTCGTTTTACGAATCGGAAGAAGTTGAGAAAATTCGTCGTGGAAAACGCAGATGGTGATTGCATCGTTCGAGGAAACTGAAAAAAATAGAATTGAGAAGAAGAATTTCGTTCGATAAAATAAATAAATCTTTTGATTTCGATTGTCGTACGGATTTTTTCACTCGACGCGCAAAATAAATCGCGCAAGAAATCGAGATCGAACCGAAAAAGAAAAAAAAAAAAAAGCGTAGACCGATCTCGACAATTCGAACGAACAACAAACTCGAAGAACAACGCTCGAACACTCGTTCGAGAAGAAACCCTACACAACAGATTTTATATTTTATAATTTCCACGAACGAGCGGCTGCAATTATAATTTCTAATCGCCTCTCGTTAGCATCGTCTCGAGATCGAGACGACGATGACTAATTGTCAGCCTCTCGATCTAATTTTTATTTAGAAGTGGATCGCGTCGCTTACACGACGTGGTGTACACGCACGCGCGTGGTACTTTTACTGTATCACTATGAGAAGAAGAAAAAAAAAAACCTAAGATGTACGGTTCGATAACACACACACACACACACACACACACACACACACGCGCGCAAAATATTCACGCTCTAGTAAAATTCTTCTCGAGCGATTCTTCTCTTCGTTCCGCGGCGCGTGTTTTTCCATTGAAAAAAAAGAAGAACGGGAGGAGAGAGGGGAGGGGAAGAAAAAAAGAAAGAAAGAAGAAAAAAAAAAACACTCGCGGTTACGTTGCAGAAAACGGACTGCCAAGGAGATTACGGACGGCCTACACGAACACGCAGTTGCTCGAGTTGGAAAAAGAATTCCACTTCAACAAGTACCTGTGCAGACCGCGAAGAATCGAGATCGCGGCATCCCTCGATCTCACCGAAAGGCAGGTAAGAAGATACAACCAACGACCATTATCCATCCATTTCATTTTTTCTTTTCCATTCGCACAACAATTCATCGATCGATCGATCGATCAATCGATCAATCGTGGCAACGCGTGTGATAACGTGTGTTCTCGAACCGAATGTGTTTTCCAGGTGAAAGTATGGTTTCAAAACCGTAGGATGAAGCACAAGCGTCAAACGTTGAGCAAGGAGGACGGGGACGAGAAGGACGGTTCGACGTCCGACGGGATGGAGAAGTCCAAGGGGGAGAAATCGTTGTTGGCGATGGACGGCAGCGAGGAGAAGAAGAGCTGCCACAACTGTGATATCTCGAGCGTGAGCGACGTGGTGGTGGGAAGCACCCTGTCGGGCGACGTTGCCGAGCTCACCTCCTCCTCCTCCTCGTCCAATCGTCGAGGCGGCGGCAACAACAACAACAACAACAACAACAACAACACGCCCACGGCGACCAACAACAACAATCCAGCCTTCAACGCCAACAGCAACGGAGCAAGCAGCGTGGGAAGCACCAACAGCGTGTCCAGCTCGTTCGAGAAGATGATAGCTGACGACGACTCGAGGTCGTCCCAGGACGGGAGCGAGGTCACCTCCCCGACCAGCGTGGCCAAGAAATTGGCCTGCAGCGAGGGGGGGGTCAGGGTGAAGGTGGAGAGCGGGGGGCACAAGAGCCCTGTCCCCGGTAAACAGCAGCATCATCAACAGCAGCATCATCAGCAACAGCAACAACAACAACAACACTCGATCTCGGTCGGCAAGAAGTCGCCCTCCGCCATCACCACCACCTCCTCCTCCTCCTCCTCCTCCTCCTCCTCGTCCAAGGAGCAACTCTGCAACACGGTGAACAGCAACGGCGTCCTCCTCGCGATGCCCGACTCCACCGTGAGCACGCCCCTCCTCCCCGGCCAGAACTCGGCCAGAAGCCTGACCCCCTCCTCCACCCCGGGCACCCCGGTCCAACTGCAGCAAGGAAGCCCCCTAGGCGCCATCCAGGCAACCCACCCCTACATGCAACGCCCAAGGAGCTCCCCTTCCTCCTCCACAGGCGGCCCACCAGCCCCCGTCACCCTCGTGCCCATGGCCGGTATGCACGGGTCGACCAACGCCGGCACCATGTCCCCCCACCATGCGGCCAGGAGCAACAGCAACGCCAACACCAGCAACAACGCTATGAGCGGCAACACTCATCACTCCACGTTCCAGCAGCAACACCATCAGAGCGTGGTGTATCCCCAATCGGGCAACGCTGCGTCCGACTACGCTAGGTCCAACGGGGTGGTGGGGAGCCGGCAACAGGGCAACTATTGCCCTGCGAGGGACGCCTCGTATCAGCAGCTCCCCACCTCGAGGATCTCCTCGTATCAGGCGGGCGGCGAGGTCCACCACCCCCCGACCTTGTACGCGAGGCAGAACCTGGCCACGTCCAGGCTGAGCCATCACGCGCGCGCCGCGACGGCCCAGGCGTCGAGGGCCATGTACCCGCCCCCCTCGTCCAACAACGTGGCCAATTCCATCAGCAGCAGCAGCAGCAGCAGCAGTACGGAGCCGAGTACAACGGTTACGGCCAATCCTATCCTCACCACTCGACCCCCTACGCGAGAAACGTGCAGCAGACGGGGAGCAGCCAGCAGCAGGCGTACCAGGGAGGCGGCCAAGGCTACCCGCCGGATCAGGCGGACGCTTATCTCGGGGGAGGCGGCTCGTACGGCTACCATCACAGCGGCCCGCCACAGTCCACCACGGCCTACCATCACCCGTCCACGGACAACTTGGGCCAGGCGGCGGTTCCAAGCGGCCAGGTGCAGCACCACTATCAGCAGTATCACCACCACAGCGACGGGCAGCAAGAGGGCTACCACCATCACCAGCCCACCCCACCCATGCACCCAAGCTCGGCACCCGACTACAGGGGCAAGTGCCACTACTACGAGCAACTGCACCACGTGCACCAGGGCGGGGAGGCGTCCAACATCCCCAACAGCTACGTCTCCTCGCCCGACCCCTTCCCGTCCCCCGCCCCGGGGATGGCAACCACGGCGACGGCGATCGCGGCGGCCACAGCCGCCGTCATAACGCCGCCCGCTGCCCAGGCCGAGGGCAACGACTCCACGTACAACAACTCGTACGGCAACTTTTACGCCGAGCCGGCGGCCGTCGTCCCACCCCCACCCTCGGCCGACAACAGCAACAGCTCGTCCGACTTCAACTTCCTCACCAATCTTGCCAACGACTTCGCGCCCGAGTACTATCAGCTCAGCTGAGTCCACGAGACGGAGGGCCAGCCGTTGTTGGACTATTGGAGCGACGAACAGTGTCTGCTCAACAACGCGTTGTACTGAACTCGTTCGGCCGTGCTAATAATAAATCGGGGGAGTGGATCTCGACAACAATCGTCTCCGTCCGTCAAATCGAGAGCAGGATCGAAGAGGGGAGGAGGGAGAGAGGTGTAAATAAGGACAGATCGGAGAGTGCAATCTTTCTTTATAAGAGGGGAGGAGAAAGGCAGGGATTTCTTCGATGCACAGTGAAGATATATATATATATATATACATACGCTGTAGTATACATATACTGCGTGTCTCTTCTTTCTTTCGACGATACGTTCATTCGAGGTATTTAGGAGAAAGTGAAAAGCGGTCGAATCGGACGAGCAATTGACGAGCAATAATTCTTCCTGAAAGGGGAATAAACGCGTGTACATACAGGTGGATTAATTTAACCTTAATGGAAGAAGCGAGGTGAGGGGGGGAAAAATGACGGAAATAAAATTTTCGAACGACACCATCGTTCTTTTTCGATCATTTTTTTCTCCCACGCAATTTCAACTATTAACCAGGATCTACGAACGTAATGGAGCGAACCAAATAGAGAGGGGGGATACTACGCGTAATAATAATAAATAAGCGTTGAAGAATGGTTAAAACGTTGAAGAGGATTAATAGTTAGCGTGAAAATAAGAAGAAAAAGAAAAGAAAAAGAAAA